CCCCTCAGTTCCAGATGTTGGAAGAAAAAGGGGGACTTAACACAGTGGGAAACATGGTGGACTTCCCAGCATTTCCGTTTTTTATTGACATCCTTTTTGTAGTCGTAGTTTATCGTGCGTTGTAGGGTAGCTAGCCCCCGGTATAAAATCCTCTGGATATCTCAGCTCACCCACAGAGAATAAAAGGCGTGTTCATATAAAGGCACACATGCCTTCAGCAGCCCATGTCTGACAGGTGCACATGTCAGTGGTTAGTTCAACCTGGATCAGAGCATTTGCTCTCACTCTGTAGCAGCCAGGTCCCACGAGTGTGTGCGTGTGTGTGTGTGTGTGTGTGTGTGTGTGTGTGTGTGTGTGTGTGTGTGTGTGTGTGTGTCTATATAACCCTTGGGCCCAGTGCTCAATACCCAGACACTACCCATATTGTTTTCTTCAGTGGAGCTAGAAAAAGGGAAGCTGATTTACAGAGCTATCTGGCGCTGGAGCACATGGATGCATGACCGACTAGCCCTAATGGAGTTTTCAGCTTTGGATTTACACTTCTCCATCTCTGCAAGGAGCTGAGCCACTCACAGTCTGCTCCCCCCCACCCCCACCCCCCTTCGCTTCTCGCTTTCAGCTGCTACATCACAAAACAACACTGTTTCACTCCTCCAGTGTTTCTCTATTAATATTAAAATGATGTCTGAGTATAGATAACGCTTTGTGACAAAGTCGGAAAAAGGCGTGAGCAGGGGCGGGTTTTTAGGAATTAGCCTCCCTCGCAGCGGGGGCCTGAGAGCTGGGGCTGATAATGCTGGGAATCCCACATTAACGTGTTAACTGGACCTAAATCAGCTTCATCTGTGTCGGATTGCTGGACTGCCATCAGGGCAGGACTGTGTAACTGTGTGCAGCTGCCCCCCAAACTCCGGCCTTAACAAATTACCCATTTCACACCTCACAAAGCATTTAGCCTTCGGTCTGTGTGAGCAAATCCATTCCCGAGCTTTTTGGAAGGACACCCACCCAATATTTATATCGGAGATGCCAACAACTCTGTTCTTAAGGTTGAAGATGTATCTGTAATGGATTTGGGTCAATATGTCAGTGCGCTGGCCTTCGGTTTAACTCACTTTTAGGGGACAATGGCAACCACTGACTGCAGCTTTTTCCACTCTGTTCAGTTATTCGATATTCTGAGCTCGATGTTTCCAGGTAAAAAAAAAACTTGCTAACTGAGTAAATCACTTTTAAGACTTTGAATAACACACTTAGGTCTTAAGATTCTCGATCGGCCATGTTTCCACCCAACAAACGAAGACAAAGAAGCAGCCAGAGGAGTCGGACAGCCCGAGGTTTTCAACAGACAGACAGAGATGGAAAGTCAGGATCCAGAAGTCAGCCCCCATCATTGGCACATGTCTGTTTCAGCTTATTAGGGAAAAACAGAGAATACCAGACAACAGCAGACACCCACCTGCCTCAGGAGACCCTCCAAAGAGCCTCATTCGGTCAACAAACGTCCACAATGACCAAAAGACAACCTGCCTTTCATTGCTATTTTTTCCACTATGAAGCAGGTTTTTTGTGCTCACTGGTTTATATCTCTGTCCACATTCCCTCTGATCCAACGCTCGTATAAGCTTGTTCAATCATAAAGTCGTAAGTTAGGAAAGAAACAACAGAGACTTATTATTAAGTTGACCAAAAACAAAAGAAATGCTAAGAGAGAGCTAAACTGATTTCTTCATTGCCAACTTCCAGAGCACTAAGCTTGAATTTGTCTCCTGGGTTCCTTCTGCAACATTTACCGAAAAAAATAAAGAAACCAAGGGAGACGGAAAAAGAGAGAGTAGGCTCAAGGTCTTTCCCTATCATTACAAAGATAGCAGGGCCTCTCTCCCTCCTAGTGGAGCCTCCGATGCGTCACTCCCCGTCCTTTCATATTGTACAAAGACTGTTCTATCAGCCTGGGAACGGTATCATTGCTTGTAAATTAATTTGGGGTTCCGGTCAGCCGGGCCCTACTTCTCCTCTTATCTGGCAGCGTAATAAGGAAGGGTGAGAGGCCCGGGAGATACTGCCGAGAGCTCTGGAGGAGAGGGAAGAGGGGATGGGGACGAGAGGAGGGGGGTGGAGGAAGAGAGTATTAAAGAGATAGATAGGATGAAAGAGAGAGGCAGGGACAAACTAAGAGAATCCAGTGAAAGAGGCGAATAGGTCCCAGTTGGATGTCAGGAGTGGAATCGAGGAATGGCCTGACTCAGTGATAAGTGAATATGGTCTGGCATCCTATTTTACACACACACACACACA